CTCACGTTTCGTTTTCATAGGTTTATAAGTATTATTTTCCATGGTAAATAAAAAGGTTAATTGTTTTCCTTTTACATCTGAACCTGTTCTCAGTCCTTTTTTTTGATTCTATGATGTTTATTAAAGTTTGAGCTATGGTTGAAGGCTTTCCCACATTCCTTACATTTATATGGTTTCTCTCCAGTGTGGAGTCTCTGATGTGAACTAAGACCTGCATGCTGACTGAAGCTCTTCCTACATTCATTACACTAATACGGTTTCTCCCCAGTGTGGATTCGGTAGTGGCGAATGAGGCTGCCTTTGTCACTGAAAGCCTTTCCACAATCTTTGCATTGATATGGTGCCTCTTCAGTATGCATCTTCTGATGTTTAAGAAGGTCTGAGCTCTGACCGAAGGCTTTTCCACACTTACAGTCATAGGGCCGGTACACCAATTGTGTTCTGTAATGGAGGGTGAGGTTTGAACTGTGGCTAAAAGCCTTCCCACACTTGGTGCATAAATAAGGCTTCTCCCCAGTGTGTGTTCTCCGGTGTTTAGTAAGATTTGAGCTATTGCTGAAGGCTTTTCCACACTCAGCACATATGTAACATCTTTCTCCTGGGGTAGGTTTAGTAGGAACTGATTCTGTACCTTTCTTGGATTCTCTATCTTTAATGAGGGTTTTTGTTCCTCTTTCCTTTTCAAGATTTACATACTGCCTTTCTAACCTAGCCTCTCCTTTATTAGCAAAACTCACAGGAATGATATCTCTTTTGAGTCCATCTGCACAAGATTCTTCTTCAGAACCTTTCTGCTTATTTGTTGATTCCTCATTTTGGGTATTCAATTTACAATCTTGAATCTTTCTTGGATCTTGAGTGAAATCTTGTTCCTCACCAGTCTCTTGGATGTATAGGGGCCCCCAAGATTCATACTTGTGACTGGTCTCCACTGGCTGTGGCTGCACACTACTCAGGGATTCTTTTATTCCTCCTGAAGATGACATCTTCTCCCACACTTGTTTCTGTTCATTTGGAGGAGTTGAGACCTGGTGGCCTGGTTCATCGTGTTCCCGCTCCAGATCTTCGAGGAGAGTGACAGCCTCTTCAACGCTCTCTGGGCTGTGATCCTGCACCCAGGCCTGGACCTCCTGGGGCAGAATGGTTAGGAACTGCTCCAGCACCAGCAGCTCCAGAATCTGCTCCTTGGTGTGGATCTCAGGCCTCAGCCACTCACAGCACAGCACACGGAGTTGGCTCAGGGCCTCCTGGGGTCTGGGAGTGTCATGGTACCCAAACTGCCTAAATCGCTGGCGGAACATCTCTAGGCTAAGAAGGCATTTCCCTTTCTCTTCCTCCTCAGCTTTCACAATCACTGGCCCCACCTGCTCCTGTGGAGGCCTCTGGCACAAAATGGTGGCCATGCTCACCACCTTGGTCATAATATTAACTCCAAAACAGCCTCACTAAAGATAGGACTCTGTACAGCAGAAATATTGGTTCCTTTGTGTTTCTGGTTCTTTAAGGCCACATGTTTAACCTAGCTTTGTTTGTAGTGAAGGCCTGAAAGCAAAGACATCCAGTAGCAATCAGCCTATCCAGTTCCCAGATCCTGGTTTCTAAATAATGTTCCCCTGACCGCAGGACCGGAAGTCTGTTCTCAGTACTTTAAGAATCCATTGCCATATAACTATTTTTATGAGGTTGTTTGATGGTCACCGAGGGGTTTAGAATTTTTCTGTAGGGTGGCCTGAAGACAGGAAATCTAGTTGGAAGGAGAGCTGTGGTGCTTCTTTTGTGATTGTACATTGCAAACACTTACATCACAAACATAGATTTTGTGTTAAAAGTTAATAAAAATAAAGCTTTCTCAAATTTTTAATCATGTTAAACATGAGATTAAGAAAATCTCACCGCAATAATATAGTTATTATTTAGTACTATATTTTTCTTTTTTTAAAATTGATCTATTAGTAATAAATTCATTTTTTTCTATGACCTTCCACACCATAGATAATTATTATTGTAAGGGATTGCAGTAGTCACTTATTTTATTTTTATTTATTTTTTATTTCAGATTAATATAATGGTAGATTAAGGTTACATTGTTTGCATTTTTAGGTAAAGTTCAAGGTGTAGTGGAGCCATTTACCTGGCATGTGTGCCATATACCTCTACATTTAGCTCATTATATGAGAGCATACCAAATCCCCTCCCTCCTTCCTCCTCCCCTTCTTGAATTTAATTGTGTTTTTCTCTCTTGTGGGCTTGTAATTGTTCATCTACTAGTTTCATATTAATATTGAGTACATTGGATGATTGCTCTTCCATTCTTGTGATACTTTCCTCAGGACGATGTTCTCAAAATCCATCTAAGTAAATACAAAAGATATGAAGTCTTTGTCTTTCATAAATTTATGACTAAGTAGTATTCCGTGGTATACATACACTACAGTTTATTTATCCATCAGTGGGTTGACGGACACTTGAATTGTTTTCACATCTTGGCAATTGTGAATTGAGCTGTGATAAACACTCTAGTGCAAATGTCCTTGTGGTAAAATGATTTTTTTCCCACCAACAGTGTGTAAATGTTTCACATCTTGGAATGTTTCAAATGTTTCACATCTTGGCAATTGTGAATTGAGCTGTGGTAAACACTCTAGTGCAAATGTCCTTGTGGTAAAAATGATTTTTTTCCCACCAACAGTGTGTAAATGTTCCCTAGTGTTTTATTTTTATTTAGAGTGTTTTATGGATGGAGCTGATGGAGACTTTGTCATGGGGAGGCTAATGCCTCCTAAGCCACTTGTAGGTGCCATCACTATCTGGGTACACAAGGAGTGATCCAAGCCAGCCATTAGCATCTTTTTGCCGGCATGGTCTTACTGTACTCTTTATAACTTTCTATAAGCAATAATTTTATAATTCTCTATAAGCAATAACTATAGTAAAATAAAAGAAATGTATAAAAAGATAATGTCCTTTTTTTTTTTTT